GCTCCATTATCTTAGGAAAGAAAATAAAAACAAATTATAATTGAAAACTATCTGTATTTAGATGATTAAGGACAGCTAAACTACCTGACAAGTTGCCTATAGTAAATTGACCAGAATACTATTTAGCTCTGTGAAATGAACGAGACCTACTGTGAGATTTGCTTGTTTTGATTTGTAGTGCAAAGTTTGATATYTAACATAGAAGCCATCACCTCAGGAGGTTTCAACATCAGTCCAAAAATGATACCACATCATACCTGTATCCAGGTCTTCATTCGCTTTGACATCAGTTAACATCTTTAAGTTTTCCAAGAACTTTTCAGTTGTCACTTCTTCTCCCGATTTTGAACATGGGATTCCAACTCAGTCAGTGACTGTAAGGAATTATAATCAGGACTTTACACAATGATTTAGTCTACATCTCTATAATAGCGCTGTGCAGTGGTACTAAAAATAGCCTRTATAATAGAGGCATGACAAATATTATTAATCTGTCATCTGTAGAACTTGTAAAACAAAGTTCATGATGTAACAAAAACAGACTCAAGGAGATGAAAAAATTGGCTTGTTTGTCCAAGTTGTGATGTCACCGTTCACGCTTCGCTACTGATTGACTACTTTAGTTACAAGTGGCTGCCATTCATTAACCAAAAACATTTCCTCCAAAAATTTTGTTTCAACTTTTATTGCCCTTCATAAAAATTGAAAATAATTGAGATGATCAAAAATCTTACCAGTTGCTCTTTCATGAGGAATGGAAATTTCTCCTTAATTGTCTCTAAAGCATCCTTTCCACCACATTCCTCTTCAATAACATCAACACGGGCCTGGAAAGTCATCGTTTGCAGTGTTTTTATTGCTTCGAAGTTGGGGGTCTTCCTTCTTAGCTCTTTCATAATTTCTGAATAGTGCTTTTCAAGATCGTCCTCCAGTTCCCCACTAGATGTGCTGCTTTCTTGACTTTTAACTGAACTTGAACATGTTCGTCTTTTACGTGAGCTTGAATAGGTAGTATTATACTGCCTTCTCTGGAGCATGCACTTTACTGAAGACTTGRAAAAAAAAGTTATACATACATATACTATACACTTTCATATATACCCAACCAAAAAAAATGAAAGGACAAAACACCCATATTCATGGACATAGCACTGAGCCCAAATCCTATTAGAGTGATTTTCAAAAACCTGTGATAAAGAAAGTGAATTTATTAGAGCATAATAATAAGCTACAGAAAATAGAAAACAAAAAAATATGGATGTTATAGTTCTAAATATCCTTAAGTGTATTTCACAGGTTTATGAAAAACACTTTAATTTATTAAAACATACATACCCGATACTGGAAAGGCAAACCATCCGGCCAATTTAGAGGTTTTTYGTCTCTCAAAGTTGGCACTTTAGTGCATATTTTTTTGCAGCCACTTCAAAGTCTTCTGTTGTAATATCTTGGTCCTGTTTGAGTGCTTTCATACAGGTAAAACAGTCCCTGATGAGTTTTGCTCTTGTAGAATCATCAAGGTCTTTATCTTCAGCAATGCATTTTTTCACCTCAGAAGACATTGGAAAATCAAAGGACTCTTCTGTGACAGTTGGCATCAATTTTGGCTTTTTGGAAGTGCCACTCAACTTGCAGTGCTCTTCACTGGCAACTGAAGATGTTGATGAAATAACTGACCTAGTGGATGCACTTGATGGGGATTTCTTCTTCTTACCAGCTGACAAAGAGTAACTTTCTTGCTCCTTAAAAAATCAATGCAAAATTAATAGCACCCTGAGGTCAGATATAATTTCAAATACAGTAGACCCTTTTCAGAACCTGGTCAAATGGTTATATTTCTGAATGACAAAATATCCAAATTTCCTTCATTTCCACAATATGTTGAGGGATAACCCCAAACAATGGTAAATATCATGACCCCTTGCATAGAGTGAGAACTTACAATTCCACAAGCAGAAAATATGTCCAAAACAAATTAAAGCTGCTTCAAAAATTATTATAACTTTTCATTACCTCTRAAGATGGCTCRTCAGTGTTGTGTTCGCTGTTATCAATACCTACAGTCTGTTGTATTCCTTGGCGCTGAAAGAATATGAAATTAAGAATTCATCACAACATGCTTTACCACTAAGGGTAATATTAAGCACACAACAATCACTTGTTAATTCGTGACACAATTTGGATTTTTATTCAAAGTCAATTTCAATTACTTACCAAATCCTCAACTAAATCCCATATACCCTTTCTGGCATGGAAATTTTCAGGGAACAGGTCATTAAGGTCAGCCCTTGTCAATTTGACAAATGTCTTTCCATCGATTTGATTAGCTGAATTGCAACAAACATATCCAATTAAAATGTTACTAAATGGAATGTATTATATAAAAGCTATTTAAACTGGCATGAGTGCCAATGAAACATTGACCTCTCATATGGACCCCTCCTAATATGTCAATCAAAATAAGCAATGAAAATTTTCCAGGGGGTCCAAATAAGAGGTCCAAAAAGGGTTAACGTTTTGTTGACACTCACTTATATTACATCCAATGCCTCCCCTCCATGCCTCCCCTCCAAATGCCTCTCCTCCAAGTGCCTCTTTTCCAAGTGCCTGGATCACATACAGTTACTGAAGACATTTAGTTTAGATAATTAATATGAAAGTCAGTTGCCTTGAGGTATAAAAATATTGATTTGACAAACCATTACTGTAATGCACCTATCAATGTAAAGCCCGAGGGAGGGGACCCCGGGATGAGGCATGGACATTGATCGCTATTTTTAGCCCCAGGATTATAGCTAACTTTGAACGATAAAACGGAGAAATTTGGATTTATTTAGAAGGTTTGGCTGTAGCCAGATCACTTCCGAGGTGGGGCAACTTTGACAGACAAAATCTATTTGAAATCAAAGTCCTCACCTCGTCCCGGGGTACCCCTCCCCCCCCCCCTCGGGCTTAACATTGATAGGTGCATAATGACCCATTCCAGCAATTTCGTTTCGAAATGGATGGAGATATTAACGTTAAGATTCACTGATATAATTCATAAAAAATGTCAAAAATCAATTTCAATTGATTTAAGGGAATACAAATATTACAAGGCAATCATTCTATCGAAAACCAATTTATATAAAACGCCACAACTTAGGAATATTTTGGCGCCAAAAATGTAAATATTTCGAACTGCAAAAATTACCAGTCTAACCGCTATTGAACGTACCTGAAATCGTCGAACAGATGCTTGCACCTAATCCCCTTCTTTTAAGCCACTCAGCCAGTTGTTTTGGCTCATCAGGAATATCTAAACGTTCAATAAAACTCGCCATTGTACTCGTTGTTCGGGTAAATTCACAAAACGCGAGAAGTTCAAAGAGCACGAGAAGTCTTTCAGAAAGGCTCACGTGATCTTGTAGCATAATCTCATTGGCCAGCTTAATATCGATTGCTTAAACGTGCCTTTCGACGCCCTGACAGCCTTCGGTAGTTGTGAGTTGCACGTTGGAATTTAGTTTTTCACTGCCGCCATTCAAAAATATTTAAGGTACCGACTTATTGATGTTGGGAATCGCAGTAATATTCAGCATGGCTTGGAAGTGCTTACTTTGTTTGGGCTTTTTTGCATTATATTTGAATTCTATTCTAACGCACTATAACTCAACACACAGAAACGACGAACGTTTTCACATTAAGTGCAAACTAGATGGTTGTAGTGCCGAGTTTACCAAGGCAAATACATTTTGTAAGCACGTGCGTGCATCTCATCGGCAACATCTTTACGAGACCGAAAATCAGGACGGCGTCTTCCAGATTATTGGTAAGTCCCTTATTTTTAGATAAATAATAAATTTGGCCTAAAATCTAATAGTACTTGCTGGAAAATTTTACATTTTTGACTAAACGGGATTTTGTGGCTTTCTGAATGCGTAATTAGATGCGACATTTATTTCTTTCCCTTGGGTAAGGAATTTGACATACCACAAGTTCCCGAGCGTGAGGATATTTGACAGGTTGAACAAGAAGTGTTTGAACAGTTGGATCATTTTAACTCCTGGAGAAGGGGTATTTGACATCAGCAGCAGTCCCGAGGGTAGGGAATTTGATGCTTGAGATACATCAAAATGTCAAATCCCCCTGGTATGCCCGTGGTCCCCCACCTGGGGCTTAAAATTGACAAGTGCATAATGATAACAAACACCGGTCATTTTTTAGGGAGGGGGGATGGGATAAGGAAGCAAATTTGGTGCACAACTTGCATAACAGTCTAGAGCATATTCGTATTTCAGATAATACTGGGGATAATGAATCTGGGAATGGAAGAGATGAAAATATGTCATCTGGTGAAGATTCTGAAATGCTGTCTACTGGTGTGAATATTCCTGTTATGCCAACCCAAGACATGCACCATAATGAACCTCTCTCACTTTCCAATCTAGCTGGAAGGTACCTTGTTAAAGTACAGGAGAATAACAAATTAACTAATAAAGCAACTCAGAAAATTGCCACCATAACATCACAACTTTTTGACACAACAATTCAAACATTAAAGAGGAAAGTACAAGACTGTTTGTCACACTCAAATATAAATTGGGAAGATGTTGATGGTATTGATGATGCATTCGATAAGGTTTCTACCCCTTTTGATGAGCTAACAACCACATGGCTGCAGAAAGACTTCTACAAAACCTCAAGTACATATGTGGTTAGTAGACAAATATAATGTGTAAATTAAGAAGTTTTTTTGTCTTTAAATATAGTCGTACCTTTATGAAAAAGTGTCTTAAATCTTTCTAAATTTTCCATATTTAATCTCATCTCACATTTACCCTGATTTTTATTTCCTTGCATCCTTTTTTCAGGAACCCCAGAAACATGTTCTTGGAAAATCAAGGAGAATTGTCAAGTGTAATAATAAAAAGAGAATATCGGAAGTTGAAGACACTTTCTACTACATCCCAATATTAGATACTCTTCAAGTTCAGCTCTCATCTCCAAAATTGCTTAAAATGGTAATGGAAGGACCATGTAAATCAAGTGTCCCAGATACAATGCAAGATTTTGTCAATGGTACATTTGTATGTCATCATCCATTATTTTGCTGTGATGGCCAAGCACTTAAGATCTTATTATACTATGATGATGTCAATGTAGTAAATCCGCTCAGTAACAAATGCCACTCCCTTGGTTTTTTATTATTATCAAGTGGTAAATATATTACCAGAGTTTCGCTCAAAGTTGAAGTCCATACATCTTTTATCAATTTGTAAAAAAGAGTTAATTAAAAAGTATGGAATAAACTTAATCCTGGCACTTTTGGTTAAAGACTTACAGATTCTGGGAACAGATCAAGGTTATCCCTTTCCTGTTTTTGGTGGATCACTGTATCTACGTGGGTCATTGCTCGCTGTACTTGCTGACACACCTGCAGCTCAATCTCTTGGTGGGTTCAAAGAAGGGGTTGGTGGAGCTCGTCGCAAATGTCGTCACTGTATGACCAACTTTGAGCAGATGCAGAATTATTACAAAGAGGAAGAGTTTTTATTACGTACAAAGGAGGATCATGAAGAACACTTGAACAAAATTGAGAATGCACCATCTAAGTATTTGAAAGAATATTATTCCAAGCATTTTGGAATTAACAGAAGAACAAACCTGATAAATGTTCCACATTTTGATGTTTGCGAACAACTTCCTCAAGATGTTATGCATCTTTTTTTGGAAGGAATACTCAGCTATCATCTTAAGTATTTGTTCCATCACTACATCACAGAAATTTCTGCATTTACCCTTCTGGACCTCAACAGAGAAATTAAACATTTTCCTCTTGGCTATGGAGAAGAAAAAGACAGACCCGTAGTTATTAAAGAGAATGATCTTCTTTTTGACAAAAGTACAAACCTTGGACAAAGTGCAGCTCAAATGCAATTGCTTTGTAACATTTTGCCATTTATTTTGGGGATGTGTGTAGACCTGTACTCAGTCCACTGGAAGTGCTTTATGTCACTTCTTGAAATAATGATGTTGTGCTTCTCTCATTCTATCAGTTATGCTGCCATCCTAGTTTTAAAGAACAAGATTGCAAGTTATCTGCCATTGTTTAAGGAACTGTACAATGCAAGAATAACACCAAAACTTCATTACCTTGTGCATGTTCCCTCATTAATGTTTATGTTTGGCCCGCTGATCCGATCCTGGTGTATGAGGTTTGAAGCAAAACATTCATACTTCAAAAACATTGCAAAAGTCATTAGAAACTTCAAAAATCTTCCACTGTCACTTTCTACCAGACATCAGAGTATGGAATGTGCTGACAATATTGTATTAAATGAAGGTATAGATCCATGTCCATTAATTAAAAAGAATATTGTATTTGGCAGTTCTAAACCTATTATTAGTGCCCAAGATATTAGTTATGTTAGGGAATGTTTGTTTAGATTTTACAACATTCAGAACAATCAAGTGGATGCATGTAATATATTCCTTCTTAGTTCTGTCACTATTTATGGTACTGTATATAAACCAGGGAAAAATAACTTCATTGACGTGTCTAAAAATGCTCCAGAATTTGGAAGAATTATAAAGATTTGGTATGTTGAGTACCATGGTATTTTTTTTGTTATCCAAGTAATGCATACAACATCATTCTGTGAAGAGCTAAATACTTATGAAATTGAAGAACCACACTTGCCAGAGGGCCAGGAAATATTAGCATCAAGTGAAATCAGTCATCCTAAAGTATGTCACACTTACCAGTTTAATGAGAAATTATACATTGTACAGAGAGAGAACACTTTTTAGCAAGAAGTTCAGTGTGGCATATGAATTCTAGTCATGCAGTTGTGATACCATGTTGTATTGTATATTTGAAAGTGTTACTATAGTTTGGCAATAAAATATATATACTTGTTGTGTTCAAAATGAGTGATTATTTCTTAAGATGAACATCATTTCTACTTATATTGAGAAGCATTAGGGTTCTCAGAATAAGAATCGTTGTTATTGAGAACCTTGTCACTCTCAACATAAGAATCAAGTTAAACTCTAAGAGAAAACCATCTCTTATTTCAATGGCAGATATCCACTCTCTCATATTGAAGTGATATCATTTCTCAAATTGAACAACATTGCTATACTTATTTTGAGAACAAGCGTTCTTAAAATAAGAATAGTTCCAAACAAGCACCAATAGTACTCTCAAAATAAGAATCAAGTTATACTCTAAGAGAAAACCATCTCTTATTTCTAGCTTTTATC